AGAATAATCTGTCCTAAGGAATGTATTCCCACTCTCTTTGTGATTAAAATAATTTGTGCATGTTACTCTTTTTATCTTCTCCTTCAGCTTTGAAACCTGTCTGGCAGAGATCAGAGCTTATCTCTGTCTCGAGGGTTTCAGCCTCAATGACTGGTTGAAATTAGGCTCAGTTCCAGAAAGTCTTTACTAGCAAGTTTCTGAGTGGAAAATCTAGGTTCTTACGGCATTCCAGCTAGGAATTCCATGCTGCTGGAAGCCCAAGGTATCTCTCTGTACTCTGACACCATGGCACATTTTCAGAGGCAGTTCAGTTTCACACGATTCCTCCTCCCATTCCGTTCACCTCGAGTCTGATCCTTTGGAGTTTCCACCATGCCCATTGAATTAAGTGGCAGTTGAGCCTTTCCAGGACTGAGGTCTTAAGAAGAAAGTCATGATTGGCCTCAAAACAGATTGATTGGTTTAAGCTAGAGACTTTTTTCTAAGTGCTCAGCTTTTGCCCCCTTCCAAAGCTCAGGCCATGGAATGTGAGCCACAGATCTGTTACAGAGTTCAGAGCAATCTGTACACTCAAACACTATCCTGATTTTTTTATTCTCCTCTCACACCATTTCCTAACAATACTCTCTTCCGGCAGTCCTCTTTTCTCCTGACAACCAGCATTGTATCCCTTGGAGGGATGAAGGGCAAAGCTGCTGAACTACATCATCCACACATGGCAGTTCCTTTCGTTTTTAATGGAATATGTGACACCCAATGGCGCACTAATGCACCTAAACAAACCACAGACCAAAGGTAGAAGACACTGTTCAGCACTAGGTTTAATACACAGTGGGTATCCAATGGATACAACAGAAAAGTTAATTCATTCAGAATCGTAAGGAAGCAACAGTTGTGCATTATGATTTTTTTTTTTTTGCTTGGTTTCACCATGTACAAACATTTGAAACAGGCCCCAACATCAGGCAGGTCCATGGACAGAGTAAAAGCAGACGCTTGCTCCTTATGACTTGAGGGTATTTTCTTTAAGCAAAACAAGGAAATACATATTTGGTTAACTTAAAAACTTTTTTTAAAACAAGGAAAGAAGTACAGAGAGAATCATGACAAGTATATGAAGTCAAAACATAATCTGCTAAAGCAGGAGTGTTTCAGT